TTCAAATGGTTAAAATTAACTCTAGTCTTTCCATCCTGGATGAAATAGGAAGGGAACTGTGTGACTGCACAATCACTGTTTGAGAAAATTGACAGATTTGAACACTCTCAATTTCACTCTTTCAGCCTTAACTTCCCTTCTGTCTTTTATGCCTGTGCACACACTTAATCTCCTTTCAGTCTCATATTTCCTTTATCTTCCATTATTTCCATCACTTCTCATCCTCAAGAACTCAGGAGCGTATTGACATCTGTCCAAAAACAGTCATAAAAGCCTCAATCAGACCTTCAAAAACAGGAAAACCCACAAAAATGTCAATGTGGGGAATAGGGAAGGTCTAAATAAATTGAGAGTCTTCTTGGCTGCCTCTCAATTTATCAGCCCACAGCAATTGAAGTTTGGACTTGAATTCGCAAGCACTTCATCTTCATGCCATACTGTGCCTTCGTTCCTGAACTTCCTCTTACAAGACACAGCATCCACCAGAGCAGCAAACCACCATTTCCATCTCACACAGTTTACCAGACCTCTTTATTCCAGTCTCAAAGAGGAAGTCTTAGCAAAATCACAAGTAATGGTTTCCAGTTTCAGTTCAGCTGCACACTTTTTGACATTCATTGTAAATTGATTGACACTGAACAGAAATTCAATACTTTTACATTGTCTATACACTTCAGTTTTGGAAAACCTCTCTAATAGAAGTGTAACCTTTAGACAAGTGCATAAGTGGAACTAACTGAGAATAGAGACACTTGTGACTTAAAGGGATCGTTCACCCCAAAACAGAAAGCTTAATTTTTGGTAGAACTTTAAAGGCATAAATAAACTGGTGTTTCAGCCCATTTTATTTCCATAATATGACATATTTCCAACTGAAACACAATGTACAAGTAGAAAAAGAAGCTTTTACCATTGTATGCCATTCCTCATTCTTTGAAAATTATTTGAATGGACCATTGGATGTGCCCAATTGCCCATATGGTTAAATCAGCCCAGTGTGCAGTGTTCCAGTATAATGTGATGGTTTGGCCAGGACTGTATTGAGCTAGATGTGTTTGAGGTTAGCTGGTGCTCACCTCCATTACTGAGTGAGCAGAAAAGCGTCTCATCAGTCTAACAGTGACAGCTTCAGGGCTCACAGCCCAAAAAGGATGGTCAGGTATAATAGAGAACAGGGCACTACTGTTAATCATGATCTACACAATTATCTCCCTCTATTTCTCTTATACTAATGTTTTTTTTTTGTCTTCTTTTTTTCTTGCAGAGTAAAGAAGTGGGCCTCCAGCTGCAGGAGGATCTCATGAAGGTCCTCAATGAGTTGTACACGGTAAGATACAAACAGCCTAGTCGAGGATGTCCTCCGTCTCTCTGGTTCCTCTGCGTCAGCCTGCTGCAGCAATGAGGCATCGAGTCTCTGCTTCAGCCGAGTGGTTATTTTGGTCTCTTGTGGTTGTAGTCCAATCAGTATTTTTGAGGCGTGGGGTGGCTATAGTTACTTTTTCTTCTTGTTGAAAATATTTTGAGAGCTTTTAGTCACTGTGTGCCCCCTGTGTGTGGTTGTGTTACAGGGTGTGTCCGAATTTTAGTTTTAAAGATGCCTACGAATGATAGTAATTATAGTCGTCAGCCAGCAATGAATCTAACCTGCTGGCATGCAGATTGACTGCCTGTAGCCTACCTGAGACTCTAAAGCAGATCTATTGCATTTGCAGTGGCACAGAAGAGCACTGTGGAGTATAAGAGGATGGTAATGAACATCAACAGCTGTGGGTCAAAAGTGCAGAACCCAGTCTCAATTATTACTTACTGCAATCCTGGCAGATTTTGTGATATTCCAGTTATGCTGTATGTTTTATAGTCTTCCTCAAGCATCAGTCACATTTTATATTCTGTCCTAATTATTTACCACATGCTGTTTTTGAAACGTGAACAAGCTACATTTCCACTGATGAGGTCAAGGCACTTTTCATGAACAGGGTACGAAATAGGGCCTGGAACTCTTAAACACGAAGGCTTTTTAATGTTTCAATAAATCATCATTAAATGCAGTGTTATTTTAGTATAATTTATATACTATAGTTTTAGTGGTTTTGTGAGGTGCTTTTGTCATTTTTAATACTTATTTCTATTTAGCTTAATTCATTGTTTTTCAGGTGTAGTTTCAGTCATTTTAGTAGCCAAGGCAACATTTCTAATTTTTTTAAGTGAAAAATTTTCAACAGCAAATTGTATTTTACTTCAGCTGTTAACAAAACTGTTTTAATAGTTTTAGTTAACAATAACTATATGGAGGTGAATGTTGGTTTGATTGTTGATTATTATATTATATTATTGTACAGAACTTATTTTCCATAAATTTGCTTAATATTTTTTTCTTTCAATAAGATTGGTAGCGGTTGAATGGTTGAGCTAGATGAATACAGACAGTAATGTGTTTAATACTAATGTTAATTTTAAGTAATGATTTACGTAACACGTAATTATTGTCACTAAAACAACATGGGATTTTTGCCTTTTTTAAAGTGGTGGAGAACCAACATGTACTCTATTTATAGGGAACTCCTTCGGTGTTTACATTTTAGCATGAAAAAACCTTTAATGGTAGTTCACCTCGGTTTTAACCCTCAATGGCAATATGATTACTGTCTTATAGACTTAGCATTGCCGTATCCGTACCACCACAGAGACCCATGTTCCCTGGCAGTGCTGAAATTAGCAGTGGTGCACGGAAAATTCAGGGATGATTCAGTGGATTATAAGTCATGTTATTATCCTGCTGTATAGTGGAGTGCTGCTTTCTGATACACAGCATAGTATTGCATGGGGCTTCCACGCGTACATGCCCTTAATTAGCAGCACAGCTTAAATAATCCTAATTATCTCAGGCTTTTATTTTTACTGGGAGAATAAATTCAGTTAGAAAACCCCTTTGTGTGCTGTTGAGGCTGATAGTCATCAGTTCAGGTGTTTTCCTCTTTCAGCCCGGTTCTTGCCTGTAATGTGTTTCTTTTCAAGCTGCCTTTATGAGCACGACCACCTGTAAGGATCCTTATTTAAAAAAAAAGAACACCACAAAAAATCAGCTTGAATGTTAATTATGCTTAATTGTTTTTTCTGCCATCATATTTCTATAGAAGCTTGATTCTACCACAGCGTGTGCTAAGTGAATGAACATCAAAGATCACACAACAGAAGTGCACGTGCTCTCGCTCTCTCTCTCTCCCTACCATTAAGTAACTTGTGCATTGTTTTACTTACTTGTTTTTGACATATCCGACCGAACTACAAACTTTCCAGTGATGTCTGTGAGAAAGATATATTCACTCGACAAGCTCGCGCATCTGTGCCGCCGCATGCTCAATCCACTCAGCGTGCTTTGTTTATCAGCTCGCGCACATCAGCTATACAGGCGTTAATACTGAATGTTTAACGTTATATTCATTGCATACATATACTTCGTAGTAGACATCCTTAACTCCATTCTGCTGTCTGTTGTTCTGTTGTCTGTGTTTCTTTGTCTGAATATGGCACTTATCACATGTTGTGTGGTATCGGCGTTTGGTATCGGGGCATTTTAATGAGTACGAGTACAGGAGCTCAGTATCGGGCCCGATACCAGTATCGGTATCGGTGCATCCCTAGTAAGTAGCAATATAACATATAGCATATAATGTACAATCAGCCGGTCATGATCACAAAATAAACTCTTTGGGTGAAACGAGGCTGGACCTTGCACTCTCATATTTCAAAAAATTCCAGAAATTTCCAATTTGATATGCTAATCCTTAGCACTAAATGGCAGTTTAATTCATCAAATGAATGGCTCCTCCATGACTGTATATACTGTGTTGTAGAATGTCATTGGATGATGTAATGAGATGGCATGGGGTCAGGGGTCAGGCATTAGCATGTCTGGGCTAGATATTGTTGTCAATCCATGCCTTTGTTCTTCTGGAGTCCTCTGGTTACCGTCTCTGTCCAGTACCACCAGTTTACGGAATGATTGATGGGATCATCGCTGGGTTGTTCCAGGGCCACCTCTGTTTCCTCAAGACCAACAGCAGCTCCTCTATGTGCGTCCAACTAGAGAGAGCCTGTGGTCACCCCAGCGGCATTTACAGATGGAAATGTAGTGCAGTTTGCAGCCTATACAGGGAAGGCTAGTAGAAGCTAAACAAGGTGCCATCCATCATGAGCTCATGTTTAATGTTAGCTTGAAAGGTTTTGTTCCCTCAAACATAGGAGGTCTGTTATTATTTACCTACCTTCATGCTGTTCCAAATGGTTTATGCTTTTATTTTTACTCAAAAATATTAAAGTTTTGCCCATACTTCTATGACAGGTTTGACTTATGATTTTTAGTTGCAAGACAGTAGCAAACAATGACGTTAAAAAGTAATTGACACCCAACTTGAACCATATTTCAGAGATTTTGGTTATTGTGCTTTTTTTTTTTTATCTTGACAGCCTGTGTTCATTATAAATAGTGGGAAAATCTGCCCTTTTCTCATCCATTGTCTCATCCTCCTGGTTTGACTTTTTTATTCTCAGCGGCAAGCAAAATACACTGAGAACAAGCTGAAAGCCATCAAGGCCAGGAATGAGTATCTTCTGGCTCTGGAGGCCACCAACAGCTGCGTCTTCAAATACTACATCCATGATCTGTCTGACCTCATAGATGTAAGTCCACATTTATCTAATTCGAGTGTATTGTCATAAATAAATGTTTACAAAAAAAAAAGAGAGCTAAATCACAAGTATTCCTTCTTAAATCTCTTGATATGTGTTATAATGCAGTTAAACTCAACTTGTTTGAACCAATGTTATTTTAGTATTATTTATGTAATATTAAAGTTTTTATTAATATTTTAAATAAGCTTTTATTAGAAATTTTGTTAAGTGCATTTGTAATTTTACTAGCTTTATATACGTGTACATTTTAGTATTTTTAGTTCTTAGTATCTTTTTAATTCAATACGTATATTTTATTTTATTTCAACTTTAATTCAGTTACTTGAAATGATTCGTAATAATTGTATTTGAATTTTTAATTTAATTTAAATTAATAATTTTAGTTTTAGTTGAACAACACTGGTTTGAACTAGTTTGATCTAAGGGTTTTTCAAACTTACAGTGCCAGGTTTTGGTGTCTCAGTATTGATTCTAAATCAATACCTTATGAAGTAAACAAGCTCAGGGCAGCTGATGAAATGAAACTAGGGCTGTCAGTATGTGAATAATTAATGATCAATCTTAACATTTAGATTTTTTTAACAGTTCTCACAAAACTTTTCTGTTTCTCAAACTGCTTCACTAATTCAATAATTTAAAAAAAGGTTTTTGGGCTGTCATATATGATGGTCTTCTCGTTCATTTTTTAATAATTAAGAAGTAATTAAATTCCAATTTCCCTTGTGCAAATGACTGTACTTCTGTTAAACAACCCAATTAAACATTAATGTGGTAAAAGCATCAAGAATTTTGTACCTTTTCGTACCCTGGTACTTTCTTTATTTCAAGTATACTGTGCAGCCCTAAAAGGGCATTTAAGTGTAATGCCCTAAATATGCCCATGTACAGTGTTCCACAGTGCAGTAATACCTCTGACAGTGTGCTGCTTCATCAGCCTACTTTATTCAAGTGTGACCCTGAAGGTAGATCTGTAGCAGCCCCCTATTTGAGCTCCGCAAGAGGGCCTACTTGTCCCATCAAATCTACATCAGACTCCTAACAACGCGCCCACAAAGTGCTGAAATCCCCTCCTCATATTACCCTCAACTGCGGCACGCAGGGGCCCACGCAACACAGCGTCATGGCATCCTCTTTCTGAGTAAGGAGCTGTGAATGATGGATTTAGTCTGAACAGCCTTCATTTAAAGCAGTGTTTCTCAACCCTGGTCCTGAACGCCCCCCAACATTGCACATTTTGTATGTCTCCCTTATCTGACACCCATTTCAGATCCTGGAGTTTCTTTTAATGAGCTAATGAGTTGAATCAGGTGTGTTTGATTAGGGAGACACACAAAATGTGCAGTGCTGGGGGGCGCCCAGAACCAGGGTTGAGAAACACTGATTTAAAGCAATCAGAGCGTGGAAGTGAAGTTGTAACCATGTGCAGGTTAACAGCCAAAAATTGGGTTTTTGGGTTCTTATTTTTTAGTTCATTTAAATGAAAGTCTCTGCCAATTGCATAAATGTTGTAATTTACTCTAGATTTTACTGCCTTTCTCAACTCAAAATTTTCATTCACAGCTCAAAATACCAACCAAATACCCTTTTTCCCCCTCTCTCAGTGCTGTGACCTGGGCTACCATGCCAGCCTGAACCGTGCACTGCGTACCTACCTCTCGGCCGAGTTTAACGTGGAGACTTCCAAGCACGGTGGTCTGGAGACCATTGAGAACGCTGCTGAGAACCTGGAGGCCAATGCAGACAAACAAAGGCTCATGGAGACCTACAACAACGTCTTCTGCCCTCCGATGCGCTTCGATTTCCAGTCTCACATGGGTGATATGGTCAGTTGGTGTGATTATTATTGCTTATGACATGACACTGGTGAAATTAAGTAATGGAATGTGCAGTAATGGTAATTATTTTCATGCCCCAAGCAATATACCAACAGCAGAGTTACAATGTGGGTAAACAATGGCACACAGAGATTCTTTGGCAACTGAGTGAGGCTTTACTGATTCCAAGTGCTTTTGCTCCAATATATCAAACATCTTGATGATATCAAGAAATCAGCTCCGCTAAATACTGGCTGCGATTTATTTTCTAAAGCCACTCATATAATGCAGAAACACTCCAGCAAGCAAAACACGAGCAACACGTGCAGGTATTTGTACTGATGCAGAATGAGAGGGACAAGTACAGTACAGTCTAGTGCATTTCACACAAGCTAGATTCACTTTCGCCTGAAAGTCGTGTATGCCTAAGATTGAAAATAAATTGTTAATAGCGAATGCCCCTGTAAATGGTCTTATTTTTACGATTTAGTTTCAATCCAAATGATGCGTGTGCTAAGTGAGTGAACATCAAAGATCACAAAACAGAATTGCGCATGTGCTCTCTCGCTCTCTCTCTCTCTCTCTCTCTCTCTACCGTTAAGTAACTTGTGCATTGTTTTACTTACTTGTTTATGACATATCCAACCGAACTACAAACTTTCCAGTGATGTATGTGAGAAAGGTATATTCACTCGACAAACTCGCGCATCTGCGCCGCCGCATGCTCAATCCACTCAGCGTGCTTTGTTTATCAGCTCGCGCACATCAGCTATACAGGCGTTAATACTGAATGTTTAACGTTATATTCATTGCATACATATACTTCGTATACATCCTTAATCTCTAATAACTCCATTCTGCTGTCTGTTGTTCTGTTGTCAGTGTTTCTTTGTCTGAATATGGCACTTATCACATGTTGTGTGGTATCGGCGTTTGGTATCAGGGCATTTTAATGAGTACGAGTACAGGAGACCAGTATCGGGCCCGATATCGGTGTTGGTGCATCCCTACTAAATACCAGTCAGTACTGTTACACAACGATCAGCACTGTCTCTGCTGTTATACATGACTCTTGCAAGACTGTGTCTCATTGCATGTCCAAACAAACCCAGACACCTCGAGAGGAATGAAGCATTTCTCAATCAGATTGTTGCACAGTGACAGGCATGCCTTATTATTATTATTATTATTATTATGTTATATATTATTCACTATTAATATGGCAGATCGACTGCTAACCTTATGGGTGCTGTAATTTATATATTGAATCACACACAGAAATGATCTGGCTCTGGTATTTTATTTTAATTTATTTTATTTTTGTTTAGTTTGTTTTTATTTTATTTTATTTTATATGATTTTTTTATTAAAGGTGAGATGTGCTCTTTCTGTGTCATTTGTGTCACCAAACGGTTAACATCACAACATCTACAACCAGCCAACAGTAAAATTAATAAACTGTAGTTTTCAGAAAAATGTATTATTAATTGTTTCTTAATTCTATTTGTTTATTCTTAATTCTGTTTATCTATTAGTTGTACTAAAATTACTAGTAGTAGTAGTAGTAGTAGTAGTATTAATTGTTATTTGTTTTGTTTTGTTTGTTATTGTTTTGTGAAATGTCAGTCCTGTGCCTCTAGTGTCACCAAACCAAAAATAATGATTTTTTTGCAAACAGGTTTTCTAAACACTGTCATTGTCAGTCAAACTTTTATAGTCCCACCTCAAACTCACGCCATTGGCTGAGCTGATGTTGCTGTGTTGGATTCTCAAACAAAGCAATGTTTTCATGGCATCACAGAGACACAATACACAAAATAATGATCTTTAAAAAAGCATCATATGACCCCTTTAAACTGGGACAGGAGAAAGTATTTTAACATTGAAAAAAAAATTGAACCTACAGCTCAACCTAAAAGTTTACGTTTTTAATTGGACTGCATTTTTTTCTGTGAAATCAATCAACGGTGCTTTCTGCTGTGCTGAACTTTATGCTGCTGTTTTTGTTATTAGCCAACCTTGCATCAGGGGTCCTGGATGTTTGTATGTGTGTGATGAACAGAGCAGCTGGTTTTCCCCCGTGCGCATGTGCCCTGTCGTGTGTTCAGCCCTCAGGGAGAGGGTGGACCACAGTGAGCCAGATGTTCCACAGCTGTTATGGGCAAAAGAGAAAGAGAGCGTGAAAGAGAGCAAGCAAGATAGGCAGATTGGCTCACTCTGTTCTTCAGAGCGTATGGGGATGTCATCTTTGTCATCTCCACTGCTGGAGATGGTCTTGCTTTAGTTCTCCTTCATTCTGTTGTTGAAGTTCTCAAGCTCTTTCTTCTGTCTTTCTTCTCCCTCAGGTGGGACATATGTGTGCCCAGCTGCCCGTGCAGGGAGAGCTGATCCAGAGATGCCAGCAGCTACAGTCCCGCCTGTCCACACTGAAAATAGAGAATGAAGAGGTGACGTACACATGGTCCAACAAATACAACGTGCACAACAAATGTGTGCACATTCATTATTTGTTTATATTACAACTCATCTGTTAAACTTTACATTTCTTTTCACATCAGTTTCCTTTTTCTCTGTTGATGTGCACTGTTTCTTATCAAAGCATTGGATTGAATCAAAGCATTTTTGATTCAGCTGTCATCTTTACACAAAATTGCAGAATTCCACAGATCACACACATTCAAATGAATTATTTACATTTATACATTTGACAGACACTTCTGTCTAAACTGAACCCATGACCTTGGCGCTACAAGAGTGTTTACCCCTTAAAGGGGTCATATGATGTTGCTAAAAAGAACATTATTTGGTGTATTTGGTGTAATGAAATGTGTTTATGCGGTTTAAGGTTAAAAAAACACATTATTTTCTACATACTGTACATTATTGTTTCTCCTCTATGCCCCGCCTTTCTGAAATGCGTCGATTTTTACAAAGCTCATCGGTCTGAAAAGCAAGGTGTGCTCTGATTGGCCAGCTATCCAGTATGTTGTGATTGGCCGAATACCTCAAGCGTGTGACGGAAATGTTACACCCCTACCATACTGTAATGCCCTGTCCAGTCGGAGCGACGAGACAAAAACATTAAAACCCATTATAAACGATGCATTTGTTGCAACCAGTGGGGACATAATTATGGATTATAATGACTTATACTGTCTTTTTACGCATTGCATCGCACCGCGTAAACCTAAAACCATGTCTGCATTTGTGATCGGAGAAATGACAAACAACAAGCGCTACTCTACACTGCTCAAAACTCGCGTTATGCAAATCTTCCCACATCGTGACGTAGACATGTGGGGGCATGTTTAAACGAGCAGTTTTAGGTAGGCGTGGTTGACTCTTAACTTTTATAATGAATATCTCTTTGGATTTGAGACTTTAGTCTTTGCAACTTTACAGATCTTCTTTATGCACCAAGAGCTTGTAACACTTCAAAGAGAAAGGAAAAATTGAAATTGCATCATATGACCTCTTTAAGTGTTTCTTTATAAAGTATTCTGGCTAATTTGATAAAATGTTAAGCTACCAATAAGAGTGTAGCTCTGTTTAACATTACCGTTAAACATGATTACAGCAGGAGGAGAAATTGCTGTTGCTCAATTTCACTCAAGTACTTTGTACGTTGTAATATTGCCAAGATGCAGGAACTATAATGGGCATGCTCTTTCACCAGGTGAAGAAGACAATGGAGGCCACTCTACAGACCATCCAGGACATGGTGACCATTGAGGACTTTGATGTGACTGACTGCTTCCACCACAGTAACTCGATGGAGTCGGTCAAGTCCACTGTGTCTGAATCTTTCATGAGCAAACCCAGCCTGGCCAAGAGACGAGCCAACCAGCAGGAGACAGAACAGTTCTACTTCACGGTAAATGAGACAGAGAGGGAGAGAAATCAGTTTAATACAGGGTCACAGGGTTGAAGAAAGGGTGTGGAGGATTGGCGGTGGGAAATCTGTAGCTAGGGGCATGAAAGGACATAAAGAGAAATGGGAAAGGAAGGGTGATGAAGGGCGAGATAAGCGATTGAGTGTTTGAGATACAGCTTAATGTCCTTCCTTCTCTTTCACAGTCTTTTAAGAAGCCTTTGATTGAAAAGACGGCAATTAGAGGAGACTGCTGCAGTTGACAGCTGTTCATTGATCTGTGCTTGTTTGTAGACTGTTTAAACTGTTACGTAGTAATTCAACAAATAACATTACAGAGGAATTTGTTATTCGGATAGATTTGACAAAATATCCAGAACACAGTAGCAGCAGTAAAGCAATGCCCAGAGAGCCACTAACAGCACTTTGTGGCAACTTCATAGGGGAGACTGGGGTCACATGTGTGTTGGTGTCAACTCAGTAGCTATTAGATTTAAAATTAATAAATAAAAACAGTTAAATAAATTCTTGTTTTCTCAATAAGTAGTTTTTGTAACCCAAAAAATTATATTATTTAATATTGTTTATTTGAAAAATATATTTATTTATTTATTAGTCAATTAAACTATATAAATATATATTCTTAACGTATTCTAATTTGTTGAGATAATGAATTGGTGGGTTTTTGTTAAATGTGAGCCAAAATCATCACAATTAAAAGTTAAACTACTTCAGTCTGTGTGCATTGAATTTATTTAATACACAAGTTTTAAACTCGTGTTTCACAATTTGAATTGAATTACTGAAATAAATGAACTTTTCCACGACATTCAAATTTTTTGAGATGCACCTGTATATACAGATTGTTACATGTGTTTTATATATGGTTTAATAAAATGCATTCAGTATTTTTAATATATTGTATATTTTTATATTTAGTAGTTAACAATAATTTCATAATCGTTTTACTGTTTTGTTGTTGTTTTGAAAATCCATTTTAATGGAATTGAATAGCCCCATATAGTGTGAAAGCTATTGTCAATGTGTGTTCAGTGAACTGTATCTTTTTTCTGACCAATAATTATTAAAATGTTTGATTGCTTTTTGTAGCCCAGACTTTAAAGTATGTCTATGCAGAAATTGGTTTTCTGAAATAAACCTGCTTTAAAAAAATAAACAAATTGAGTATAAAAAGTAAGTAAGAATATTAATTTCCATTCACACAATGGAAGCGCAAGATTAGCAAGCAGAGATTTGTCGCTTGATGTTGTGCAGGCTGTTTTAGCACATCCTCTTCATTAGATCTTATCCTGATGTATTCCTCCCCTATATCTCCCTCTCTCCTCTTTCTCTTTAACTCCCTGTGTATATTTAGCTTGTCTCTTTCTGCCAAAAGCACTAGTGCATGGCTCCATGTGTTGGCTATCCTTCCTGTGTCTGCATGACTGTAATGCTGGTATACCTGTGATATATGATGGATGAAATTGTAAGCATCTGTCTACCCAGCTCCCTCATTCCCTCCACAGTTCAGGTTTCTCTCCATCCGTCTCCTGACTCCTCTATCTGTCTCTCCGCTGTCAGGTTTCCATCAGGTCAGGGTTCTCGCCCCCAAAAAGCCATAAGCTATTAGAGCACATAGATCCAATGCCTCCCTGTGCTCCAGTGGATATGAAATTAATGTTTACGCCAACAAGATGTATAGTCTCAACACTACACGGCAAATTGAAAGGGGTGGAGGAAGGATCCTGTGCCAGAAAGCAGAGAAAAGGAAGGAAGATTGATTATACTGCGAACTTAATAGCTATTCAAATGAAAATTCACACTCATGTTTGATCATAAGTGTTGAGAGATGGTCTAACAGTTCAAAATGTTTTATATTCTCTGTTTCAGAAACTGAAGGAATTTCTGGAGGGCAGGAACCTCATCACCAAACTACAGTCTAAACATGACCTGATCCAAAAGACTTTGGGAGAAAGTGAGTAATCGTTCTTGATTGATGTTTGCATGTGTGTTGATGAGCTTTAGTTTGGGGACATTTTAATTGGAAAAATTAATGTCATAAAATTTTGTGGGTGTAATCTTTCTTTTCTTCAGAAACACGTTAATATAGAGTAAATTATATTTTAGACACAATAGTACCAGTTACTGTTTGCTTCGCAAGTGAAAATACTTCAAAACTAAATCAAAGCAAAATCCACCATTATGCTTCTCAGAGCAACACACAGTTCTCTAAAGGAATCTGTGTTTTGAATGAATTGGTTGAGAAAATGATTCAGTGGGAGTCATTCATAAAGACAGACTAAATTATCTGTTAGTAATCAGACTCAATCGGACTGAAAAGCCTTCATGTAGACACCACAATCAATCCAACCGAGCTTGATCTGAATTAAATTTTGACTGGATCGGAAGGGGTGGCCTAGACCTGAAATAATTTGATCAATACGAAACAAAAAATTAAGCATGTAAACGCCTGAATCCAACTATTTTCCTCAATCTTTTTAAAAAACTTGCATGAATTTTGTGCTATGCACATGTAAACAATTGTGAATCTCATATTGCAAAATTTAAAGTTCATATAGGGGTGGGCGATATGGCCAAAATATCATATCACGATTTTATTTTATTTTTTCAGGAAAATCATGATTTTATCACGATTCAAAGATACACATTACAAATTCACATAATATACAAATAAAATAAACACACAAGGTTTACATATAAACACAAGGTATACATAAAGTTGGTTATTTCTAAAGTGAAAGAAAACAGTTGAGAGAAAAACAGATGCTTGTCTGTATATAAGATGCGTGCAGGTCTTAAAGTGATAGCAGACTAATAGTATTAAACATGCTGCCGCTTGTCATTAAAGGGATAGTTCACCCAAAAATGAAAATTCTGTCATCATTTACTCACTCAAGTTGTTTTAAACCTGAATGAGTTTCTTGTCAACAATCAAAAATCTTGATATTGCATTTAAACAGAACTTTCAGAATCTTCTCGGATTGCTGAAAATTAGTGCTTGTAAACGTACCTAGTCTCTTGTTTCATCCTGGAATGAATCAGTCATGTGCTTTGTTCCCAAATGAATCCGTGTTTTTGAGTGAATGACACTCAACCAATCAAATTTGAGTACAGAAACACAATGTTGTATAATTAGCCTATGGTTTGTCATTAGTATGTTACGTCCTCATTTAGATAGCTAAGTAAATGTGTGTAAAATGATACATCAAATTATAAAATTATTATTTCATTATTTATCTTAAAAATAATGTTTCTTTTATGTGTAGGGTTAGTGTTAATATGCTTTTGTGGGGTGTTGCAGTGTCAGGCAGAGAGGGTACTGAATTGACTGTGTGTGTGTGTGTGTGTGTGTGTGTGTGCGTGCTACCTTGAGGATGGTACTGATGTCATCAGAGCATGAAGCTTTAACAGTGCAATGCAGCTCTGTACTGCTGTCCTCTGGACCTTAGCGTGATCTTATTCACTTACTCATAGGCAGCCCTTGATGGTGGAGGTTAAAGGTCATGTGCCACGCTACAAGACAGAGAAAATGAGTCTGTGCAAGAAAGAGAAGAGCACAGCAGGGATTTCCTTGAGTGTTTTTCACTCTGATGTACCTCCCACATTCATTCCTCCAGACTGAACGGAACTGTCAGCCAGTTGGTCCGAACTGCCTGTGAACAGGAAGTGAAACTGAGAGAATCACTCTGATGGCACATGATAACGAAGAGATAACTATGTGTGTTGGAGAGAGTAGTGGTGTTGATTACTATATCGTGAAATAAGCATGCTAGCTGAGACTAGTTCGGTCAGAAAGATTGTCTAATAGTTTTGAGTTAAAGTAATAATTTTGTAGATGTTAACTTTCTGCTCCATTACTCCAGTCTTCAGTGTCACATGATCCTTCAGAAATAATTCTGATATGCTGATTTGGTGCTCAACATTATGATGTACAGTATGAAAAATGAATATTCACTTTGAGATTTACATTTAAGAGTGTTATTAAATTATTAGTAATTATTGGTGATTTAATTCAAATGAGCATTAGATAACTGCAAATGTAATCTAAATGTAAAGATTATGTACAATTAAATATCCAATATTAATTAATACTGATAAATGACTTTATGGACAAACACCACTCACATTTTCTTCAGAGCACCTGGAACTTTTTCCCTCTGTGATTTGGATTGATTTCACAGTGACATAATGGTTGATTGGATTTGTTGATCAAATTTGAAACACCTCAGTTATTCACAAGCTGTCTTATTCATTTTGTCAAATGACAAAAACAGATTTCAACGTCAAAATGCCTCAGTAAATCCAGGCTTTGGTGTGAAATGGTGCCGAGTACAGTGTGTGCAACCCCAGCTGCTGTTACTGAGGAAACTGACAGAATGTTCCAGCACAGACAGGGAAACAAAGTGGTTTGGATGATTAACTTGAAGTCAGTTGCGCGTTTGGCATTTGCTGTGTCGAACTGTGTGTGATGGGGGAAAATAGCACGTTGTGATGTCGCTGACTGTGTTTGGAGGGGAATGTGTGGATATGGGTTCACGTCCCACAGGAAGGTCCTCTGTGACAGCATAGACAAGAAGCGGGATGAGTGTTTTATTCCCAAAAGGAAACCGTGTCCAGCTGTGGCCTCTTCCTCACACATCCAGCCTCCCTCTAACTGTTTCCTCTGTCTTTTTCCTTTTGTTTCTGCTTGGATCTCTTCATTCAGGTCAGAAGACCGACTACTGCCTTGCCAGGTGAGTGCTGTGGGAAAGCCAACAAATCCAAACAAGACACAAACCATTTACACACAAGAATTAATTTAGTACACATGTAGATGTTTCAGGGCCATTTATAGATGAATATCTTGTCTAGACATATTCATCTTTTATTCCCACATCTGCTGATTTATTTATTGAGGTTAGGGGTAGGTGATTTAATCTGCCGTTATAATGGAGCAGCAAGGAAAATGGAATGGACCTTTAAACAAGAGTTCACAAAAGAGACAAAACAAGCGCTTTCACAACAAATACTGCTGTGTGTGTGTGTTTAAGGCCAGTGTATTAAATAGGACCCTTCTCGGTAGGGTGATTTCTACTGGTCTAATGGCCACATGCAGTTTGTAAATTGAATGTGGAGGAAAATTAGAGCAGTTTGAGGGAAAATGATTAATTGTAATGACAGCTTTCTCTTGTTCTCTCCATCTCTCTCTTGCTTGTGTCCATCAGCGGACGGAGGAACTCCACTGTTCGGAAACAGGTAATTATCCCCACTCGCTGGTAGAATTGACTCGGAATTGATTCTGGATCAATTCACAAACGATCATAATCAGCTATTGTTATTGAAATCAATATACAGGACAAAACATTACAATGATGTAAAGTGCTGGGAAAACAGTGGATTGGCATATATTATTAAAAAATAGTGTGCTGACACTGTACAAACAAGCCTTTATATAAAAATTATATATATATATATATATACATACATATATACTGCAAAAAAACTACTTGAACTGTTCACTTCATATTTAAAGGAAATGTGTTTACTCAGAAATCACTCAGGACATAATTTGTCACAATTGAAACTGCTAAGATGTTTCTTTATTTGTTGTATGGTTGTTTGTGTATTTATTTGTTGTGTGTGTTTATTTATATTGATTTAATTTAGTATTTATTTATTTCATGTTTATTTTACTTTTTTGTTTGTTTGTTTTGTTTATGCTCATTCTGATGTGGCATTTCATTTACTCAGAGCAAAAGCCACAGAGCCACCTCTGGATACTAGGTTATTATTCATTTATTCTTTTTCTTTTTTATATATAATTATTTTTATTTAGCAGCAATGAATGCAATTATTTGTACAGAGACCATGCTTTTTACATTTTCAATCTCTACCCAACCAACCCAGAAAAATAATTATATTAATTATATTTAATAATATAATTAAATTAAATAAATACTAAAATAATGAATCTAAAAATAATAAATAAAAGTAATACATAAAAATAAAAATAAAATAAAGTCATATTAAAAATAAATAAATTGTGTTAATACTATTTATTCAGATAATAAATTGTTTAAATGAACTGATCTATAATTAAAAACAAATCCAAGATTTGTAATTGAATCGAGTCTCTATGAATCACAGTCGAACATTCCCAACCTTACTTACATGTGACACGTGTGATGTATGTTTGTATTTGTATTACTGTATGTGTACATTTTTTGCTGTAAATATGTACTTATGTTCAGTGCATGTCTCTTTAGGATAAGTAATATAACCGTAATATAGCAGTGCCACCCTGCAATCATTATGCACATGGCAGTGGGATAAATTTGAAAATTGGGCCAGGGAGATCAATTTAGTGTACACGTCCTACCACCTAAACCCTACCCCTAGGGGTTTACCACCCTACAGTATGGGTGAGCAAAGAAAAGGACCCACTGCATCTCCTCATTTGACCACCCCAATGTCCATGTCGCCCTCTAGTGAAGGATAATGATATAAGAGCAATATTCTGTGACTAGAAGACAAATGATTTGAGAAAATAAGATTCATTGAGAAAAATTCATACAAAAAAATCCATGATCCTGATGTAAGTATGTATAAGAGTTTGTGAGCGTGACCTTCTAGCAATAAAGTTCAGGCCAGACGTGGCCCAAATTCTACTTCACTTAGCCGTTTCTTGCTCACCCAAATAAACAAAAGGAAGCTGTGGAGAGAAGCTGTCTCCTAGCAACCGTTGCCCCATTCCCAAGGCTCAAACTGTGCTGCATTTTCATCCCTCCCAAATTCTGTCTGATGCTTGCCTCCCTTTGCAAATATTATTATTATTTAAGCACTCTGCCGACAAACAGAGACCCTTGTTCAGAAATGTTTCCTGTGCTGCAAAATGTCCAGAGAAACTCCCCTGAACCATTTGAAAAGACCTGCATATTTTCTCCTTCATATTTTGTTTTCTATTTCCTTCTTTTAGGAGTCCAGCCAAATCATTCCCCTGATGGTAGAGAGTTGTATTCGCTTCATCAGTCGACACGGTGAGCTCTCTCTCTCACTCAATTTCTATTTCTTGCCAAAGGCACTATTGCTGTGTCGCTCTCTAGACTTTCCCTGACGAAATTAACAAAGTGTTCTGTTATGCTTCATTTATTTTTCTATCATACAGTATATACCACAGTATATATATTTTGAATCTGAGGATTCAACTCAATTTAGTCCCAACTAAGAACTAAACAAAATAATGGTATTTGTTTATTTATTTATGAAATATCAGGGAATTACATTTTTTCCAAAAGTTATTGAAATTATTAAAAAAGTTTCTAGTGAATATAAATTTTTCTCATTGTGCTCTGTTCCAAAAATGTAATCGGCTAGAAATTACTTCCGATTTTTTTATGATTTTTCCATGGTGAAGTCATGGATACTCAGTGGTCAAATGGGGTGGAAACGGTGTATTTTTTAAATGTGTATCTTTAACTACAGGTTGTCTTATAAAGATTATTTATTTATTTAAACTCAGAGAAACTCAGGCAAACTAACAATTCAACACAAATGATTTCTTTTGCCTTGATGCTGAAGATTCAGTAAACCCAGCTTGAATTAAGATTATATCAGTATCTACTATGAAGTACAAACACTTCAAGTGCCAGAGTAAACCAACACAACACTTCCTATCTATTCTCTGTCCATAACGTCATGTCTGTGTCTGTACAGGTCTCCATCACGAGGGGATATTCAGGGTGTCTGGCTCCCAGGTGGAAGTCAATGATATTAAGAGCGCTTTTGAAAGAGGTGAGTCTGTCTGGACTGTCCTATGCTGAGCCTTCATTTATCTATTTTGAATCAAGCCTGCATGCTTAAAGGGTTCTTACTTTCTTCTCCGTCATTGTGTCTCAGGTGAGGACCCGCTGGCTGGGGACCAGAATGATCACGATATGGACTCCATCGCTGGAGTATTAAAGCTCTACTTCAGAGGCCTGGAGAACGCCCTCTTTCCTAAGGAAGTCTTCCATGACCTAATGTCCTGTGTCTGTGAGTGTCCGCTTTATTTCCTACACCCACGGTACACGTGCATTCTGCAGACCAGTCTTACCAGATTAGACAATGGATGAACTTTTGTCCTAAAAGAACTCATTTCTTGTTCATGTTGTTTTTTCCAGCCATGGAGAACCTCCAGGACAGAGCTGTCCACATCCGCAAAGTCCTGCTGTCTCTACCTAGCAATACCCTGGTTATCATGAGATACCTGTTTGCTTTCCTCAACCAGTAGGTTCCGCTGATCAGATCTTGTCTGGAACGAGTTTTCCCACCAAAGTTATTTTTGTTAGTGTGTGATTTTAACTCAAGACAAGGTCTGTGACAATCATTTACTCCCCCTCATGTCGTTCCAACCCCGTATCACTTTCTTACGTCCAGGGAACACAAAAGTAGATGTTTTGCAGAATGTCCCAAGTGCCCTTTTCCATATGAAAATGAATCGGGGTCAATACTGCCGAGCTTCAAAAAAGACAAAAAAAGGTCCATTCATTAAAATAAGAGTGGTCCATATGGCTTGTGCTCGATGTTCCAAGTAATTCCATAGACTGTTATGTTATTATTCAATTAAAATTTCACTTGCAGCTCTAAAATCTGATCTCGCTGGCACCTGCATTTGGTTAAATAATGACTTGTGAAGATGCATTGTAAGTTTGATGTCAGCGATGCCAAATGCCGTTTGTTGACTGTGTGCCGTTATTGATCATGCCACACAAAGTTCGATTTGTGGAATTGTAAAAAAGATTAGACATGAGTTTTTTTTAAAAAATCTGCCAAAAAAGCTTTATGGTTTAACATTTGAAATCAAAGAATATGTCCACAGAACATATGTCCATTTGTCAGCTTTTTTACCCGATGACTTTGCATCCCTGAAGATATGAGATTTTCAGTGAGTAAAGGAATAAAAACAAAGTTAGCGGTTTGGAGCAACATGATGCCGGATTTATTTGAGTGAACGATTCCTTTAAACCAGTGCCAGTATATGGTGATTTCTTACAGCTTACCATACAAAAAGCTTATATACAATCTAAACTTACCATTTTACATGACCTTTTTACTACAAATTTAAATATTGTTTTACCAAAAAGAGAGGATTGGCCCATACCCAACCTCAGCTGCTGAGGGCCACGGCACTCAAGCCTCTTGGAACGTGTCCCTCCGTATCTTTGCCTCTCGTACATCCACTTTTTTCCACCCTGTGGTCCTTTTGAAAGACACTCCAGACCACAACACGATCTTAGCTTTTACTCCAGCCCGCCGTTGTGCACGCAGGCATGTCTGGTTTTCCTAAAACATCTGAACCCTTTCCAGCCCTCGTATCACAGCCAGAAGGGGGAAGCGAATGTGTGTTGAAGTACGGTGTCGCCATTAAGCCACCATTAGTGTTCCAATGCTGGATGTCTGTAGCCCTCAGTGAATGGCTTCTCTGTTTGCTCCACGGCTGATAGATCTTTCCTCTGCGATAAAAGTCAGTGGAGGTGCCAGAATGGGTCTCTAAAGAACTGCTGCTCTCTCTAATGCGCTATAGCCAGGGTTACAGCCAATCATGTGCGTCGCCCGTAGGAATGCATGGTATACACTCACAAATACACATCAAGAGAGCTTACTTTGATGGTATAGACATTTGCAGACAGAAAAAAAGAAAGAGAGATGGGTAATTGGAGACCCTTGTGCAGTTGTAACTGTCTGGGCGGGACAGTACTCATAAATTGCTTTGGAGCCTTTCCATGTGGACGTTTATGTGCCCCTACTGCTTTTATCCCAACCCAACCCCCCATCGCCCAATACACACATACAATTAAGGACACCTGTCCCCACTTTTTGTACACATCCAAGTTTTCAGTAATCAAACAAACTGGGCGTACTGTGGAGTAAGAAGGGAAACATTTATTTCTTGCCAAAGGCACTATTGCTGTGTCGCTCTCTAGACTTTCCCTGACGAAATTAACAAAGTGTTCTGTTATGCTTCATTTATTTTTCTATCATACAGTATATACCACAGTATATATATTTTGAATCTGAGGATTCAACTCAATTTAGTCCCAACTAAGAACTAAACAAAATAATGGTATTTGTTTATTTATTTATGAAATATCAGGGAATTACATTTTTTCCAAAAGTTATTGAAATTATTAAAAAAGTTTCTAGTGAATATAAATTTTTCTCATTGTGCTCTGTTCCAAAAATGTAATCGGCTAGAAATTACTTCCGATTTTTTTATGATTTTTCCATGGTGAAGTCATGGATACTCAGTGGTCAAATGGGGTGGAAACGGTGTATTTTTTAAATGTGTATCTTTAACTACAGGTTGTCTTATAAAGATTATTTATTTATTTAAACTCAGAGAAACTCAGGCAAACTAACAATTCAACACAAATGATTTCTTTTGCCTTGATGCTGAAGATTCAGTAAACCCAGCTTGAATTAAGATTATATCAGTATCTACTATGAAGTACAAACACTTCAAGTGCCAGAGTAAACCAACACAACACTTCCTATCTATTCTCTGTCCATAACGTCATGTCTGTGTCTGTACAGGTCTCCATCACGAGGGGATATTCAGGGTGTCTGGCTCCCAGGTGGAAGTCAATGATATTAAGAGCGCTTTTGAAAGAGGTGAGTCTGTCTGGACTGTCCTATGCTGAGCCTTCATTTATCTATTTTGAATCAAGCCTGCATGCTTAAAGGGTTCTTACTTTCTTCTCCGTCATTGTGTCTCAGGTGAGGACCCGCTGGCTGGGGACCAGAATGATCACGATATGGACTCCATCGCTGGAGTATTAAAGCTCTACTTCAGAGGCCTGGAGAACGCCCTCTTTCCTAAGGAAGTCTTCCATGACCTAATGTCCTGTGTCTGTGAGTGTCCGCTTTATTTCCTACACCCACGGTACACGTGCATTCTGCAGACCAGTCTTACCAGATTAGACAATGGATGAACTTTTGTCCTAAAAGAACTCATTTCTTGTTCATGTTGTTTTTTCCAGCCATGGAGAACCTCCAGGACAGAGCTGTCCACATCCGCAAAGTCCTGCTGTCTCTACCTAGCAATACCCTGGTTATCATGAGATACCTGTTTGCTTTCCTCAACCAGTAGGTTCCGCTGATCAGATCTTGTCTGGAACGAGTTTTCCCACCAAAGTTATTTTTGTTAGTGTGTGATTTTAACTCAAGACAAGGTCTGTGACAATCATTTACTCCCCCTCATGTCGTTCCAACCCCGTATCACTTTCTTACGTCCAGGGAACACAAAAGTAGATGTTTTGCAGAATGTCCCAAGTGCCCTTTTCCATATGAAAATGAATCGGGGTCAATACTGCCGAGCTTCAAAAAAGACAAAAAAAGGTCCATTCATTAAAATAAGAGTGGTCCATATGGCTTGTGCTCGATGTTCCAAGTAATTCCATAGACTGTTATGTTATTATTCAATTAAAATTTCACTTGCAGCTCTAAAATCTGATCTCGCTGGCACCTGCGTTTGGTTAAAGAATGACTTGTGAAGATGCATTGTAAGTTTGATGTCAGCGATGCCAAATGCCGTTTGTTGACTGTGTGCCGTTATTGATCATGCCACACAAAGTTCGATTTGTGGAATTGTAAAAAAGATTAGACATGAGTTTTTTTTTAAAAATCTGCCAAAAAAGCTTTATGGTTTAACATTTGAAATCAAAGAATATGTCCACAGAACATATGTCCATTTGTCAGCTTTTTTACCCGATGACTTTGCATCCCTGAAGATATGAGATTTTCAGTGAGTAAAGGAATAAAAACAAAGTTAGCGGTTTGGAGCAACATGATGCCGGATTTATTTGAGTGAACGATTCCTTTAAACCAGTGCCAGTATATGGTGATTTCTTACAGCTTACCATACAAAAAGCTTATATACAATCTAAACTTACCATTTTACATGACCTTTTTACTACAAATTTAAATATTGTTTTACCAAAAAGAGAGGATTGGCCCATACCCAACCTCAGCTGCTGAGGGCCACGGCACTCAAGCCTCTTGGAACGTGTCCCTCCGTATCTTTGCCTCTCGTACATCCACTTTTTTCCACCCTGTGGTCCTTTTGAAAGACACTCCAGACCACAACACGATCTTAGCTTTTACTCCAGCCCGCCGTTGTGCACGCAGGCATGTCTGGTTTTCCTAAAACATCTGAACCCTTTCCAGCCCTCGTATCACAGCCAGAAGGGGGAAGCGAATGTGTGTTGAAGTACGGTGTCGCCATTAAGCCACCATTAGTGTTCCAATGCTGGATGTCTGTAGCCCTCAGTGAATGGCTTCTCTGTTTGCTCCACGGCTGATAGATCTTTCCTCTGCGATAAAAGTCAGTGGAGGTGCCAGAATGGGTCTCTAAAGAACTGCTGCTCTCTCTAATGCGCTATAGCCAGGGTTACAGCCAATCATGTGCGTCGCCCGTAGGAATGCATGGTATACACTCACAAATACACATCAAGAGAGCTTACTTTGATGGTATAGACATTTGCAGACAGAAAAAAAGAAAGAGAGATGGGTAATTGGAGACCCTTGTGCAGTTGTAACTGTCTGGGCGGGACAGTACTCATAAATTGCTTTGGAGCCTTTCCATGTGGACGTTTATGTGCCCCTACTGCTTTTATCCCAACCCAACCCCCCATCGCCCAATACACACATACAATTAAGGACACCTGTCCCCACTTTTTGTACACATCCAAGTTTTCAGTAATCAAACAAACTGGGCGTACTGTGGAGTAAGAAGGGAAACATTTAAAAGGGTGTAACAATTCAGAACAGTCTCATAGACACGCATAAATAGGAGAAAGCTGGCTTAGGCTCATGATAAATGAGCTGTCGTAAGGAAGTGTAGATAGAGACTCAGTCTGGAACTCAATCTGTCTTTCACATTAGTCCAGCAGAAGCTGGTCTCTTCATGAGAAAAGTCATATGATCAAGGATCATTTTAACATGTTTCTGGATAGTATGACTTTTGTATATTTTTTATTATCATCATTATTATTATTTTTTTTATTTGGTGTGCTTCAAACCATGTGTCAGCTGTTAATATATATTCTTAAGTTTAGTTCTTTTTTTATGTATTTATTTATAATCTTTAGGGCTTAATTATAAGCTAGCAAAGCTAATAATTAATGAATTAACTAATTTTAAATAAATTGTATTTATTTTGTAAATAAATATTCATAAAATTAAAACCAATCAGGATGCAACACTCACTAAAAAAGATACAAAATATTTTGTGATGTGATGGAGGAAGAGTGAGGGATTGTGGGAAACCAGTGATTTGCTGTCTGTTTATTGGAGATGCATTTTTTACCATTATTGTTTTTTTTTTTTTTTTTATTTGTTTACCCACATGTCATGTGACCATTAACCAAGATCAAAGAACGGTGAACATGCAAATGTGTTATTAAAATATTAGCTTAAAATACAAGTAAATATAAAAAAAATGGCAATCTCTGTTTACTTAATTAAATAATTTATTTTAATAATTTAATTATGATCAGTTCTGATCAATTTATATTCCTATTTTTTGCTTAACTGTTTTTTTTCTCTCTTTCTTTTAACTAGCCTGTCCCAGTACAGTGACGACAACATGATGGACCCCTACAACCTGGCTATCTGCTTCGGCCCCACACTCATGTCTGTGCCCGAGGGCCACGACCAAGTCTCCTGCCAGGCACATGTGAACGAGCTCATCAAAACCATTATTATCCATCACGAGTGCATCTTTCCAGGGCCCCGTGAGCTGGAGGGGCCCATCTATGACCGTGGAGGAGCCGCTGAGGAATACTGGTGAGTCTAGAATGAGCGTGAGTGAATTTGGTTGCAGAAAAAAGGATGAAAATGAAGCATATAATCTTGGCCAAATTCATTGGCAGTGAATACTGGCCCCACATTTTATTTGAGCAGCTGCTCAGCCAAACCACAAAACCAGAAATGAATTGATCAGACGAACTTGATTTAATGCAGAACCAGTCAGACATGATGGATTGAGCATTATAAAGATAAAGACCAACAGAGCCCTACAGGGAGTCAGTCGCTTTTTAAAGTGTACATCCTATGTATATTATGCTCATTTAAGCCGTCAGTTCAATGGTTGAAAACAGATACATTTCTGACCCTCAGCGTGTATCAGCACACGACCTAGACTCCCAAAAGATGTCACAGTGAAAGCAACCAGAATACTGGCAGGCAGCCAGACTCGTAAAACACCATCATGAGGTCCATTTTTAAATTAAAATGAGGTTATCCTTCCCTGCTCGAGGCCAAGTGCTAATGAAATGCCCTCCCACAGCTTTTTAATAACTGTTTCAGATTTCATAGAGGAAATGACTTCAGATTGGTGTGTCACCGTGAAAAGAAAGAGTTGTGTCCAGATCAGGTTTGTTTGTGAGATACAGGCTTAAAGACGTGGATCATTTCATGTGGTTTTCATGCACGGGATTGTTTAGATTGCATGGGCGGTGTAATTAAGACTTTGAGCTGGTGAGATGATGTTTTTAGTCTCTTTTCAGCTTCCTGAGGCTTTAGGTCACGTGAAGTCGAGACACATTAACAACATACTGTAGTTAACACATAGCAAACAAGTTCCTGTCCTGGTATGAATTACTGGTCATTCCGTATTTGAGCTTCATTTAACATCTGTATAGCCTCAGATCTGAATTTGAAGTGTGTGTGAAAATTCTGATATTTTATTGAGCAGTGTAATATAAAAGCAAAATGTTCAAACATTTCCCCCCAAATGTTAATTTCTGTATTGTGAAACAAATCTCATTCAATAAAGAAGTATCATGTCTTATAAAAACTTTTGCATTTATTATGGTGATAATTTGGGGAGACTTGTGATTAACTGCTCTAAAAAAAAGTGACCCAGTTTTTGACAGTAAAATTAATTTTACGCAGTGGGATCATCACTGTCCTTGCAATGCAAAAGTAAACGTTTTGTCAAAGACTGATTCTGAGAGCAGAATGAGACATCCAGTGTCTCTGGGGAAGACATTAAAAATCACAGCAGCTTCTGACCTCTATGAACACTAACTCATCTGCTCAAGGGTGAAGAACCCACACGGATCATTTTACCTTAAGAGCCCAGATCAAAGCTACACTCGGGCTCTCAGATGGAGTGACAGGAGGATCACAGGATCTTCTTCACCAACTAACTACTCGATAAGGCCAGTCTGTCATTTTAATGATTCACTGAAACACTGATGGACGTGTGCTTTGCCAAACCTGTCGGACACTGTCTCCGTACACACAGCAGGCAGAGATTAACACATTATACAGTCATTACCCCATGTTCCTTCTGCCTAAAGCTGCTCTCTAATGAAACTAAGCTTTTCATTAGCCCAGACTTCATGCTTGCCAACTGTCTATGTAATAAACCGGGATGGTCTTCGTGAGATATATTCCAGCAGGGTAGAGTACTGCATTTTCACTCTAGAGCTTGAATTTCCTCCAGCACGTTACGAGAGAGCGGCTTTTATTGGTACAGTGATGACAGTGAATTAGGCAGTGTTTTTGCTTGAGTGCTCAATAGGAGATCAGGTTGTTCAGTTGGATTTTGTGCTAAATTAATACTTGGGTTATTAAAGGGTTTCTTGGCCTGTGAATGGCATAACAGAGCTGTTATCAGCACCGAGGCCTTCATGACCTTGGAAACAAGCCATTTTCCTGTGCATTAGTACAGTGTTTTCTGGTCACATTAGATTCCCTACTGGAGTTGAGTGAGAGCAGGTTCAGTTTAGAGTCAAGAGGCCACAGGAAAGTCCAGCTTTGATCCTTGTATCTGTGGTCTACTTCCTGTTTTGCTTCAAAGAAGCATGAACACACTGTTCCAGGCCTGAAGAGTGAGGCATAGAGAGACTTAAAGTCATAACTAGTTCTCAGAAATGTCCTCATTCACCGTTTTATGCCCTTATTTTATCTTTCCTTCTTCTGCTCTTTCCCTCTCAGTCCTGATTTTTTACAATAGCAGTCAAAAGTGGGAATGTACCTACTCATTCTTGATTATTACTGTTTTTGCTCATTTTTGAATGGGGAAAGCAGTAATAATCTAAGGTTGTAAAAACTATAAAATGTCTGTCTGTCTATATTTATTTACATTTTAAAAGTTTGGGGTAAGTAAAATATTTCTTAAAATATATTTCTTTAAAGAAATAAATACTTTTATTTCTGCAAGAATGCATTAAAATGATTTTTAAAAAATTGGCATTTATAATGTTACAAAAAATATATTGAAATGGAAAACAGTTATTTAAAATTGTAATAATATTTCACAAGATTAGTTCAAATAAAATAAAATTTTGCAGCCATGGTGAGTGTAAGAGACTTCTTTCAAGAGCATTGAAAAAATCTTGCCAACTCAAACAAAGAGTTTGTGTATTTAATATTTATTTTAATTATTTCACTTCAAATGGAAATTCATGCCTTCGTACAATTTATGTCTACAAAATGTTATGCAAAAAAGTTTCAAATAGTTTCAAGCATTTAAGCAGAAGCCTGTAGAATCATAAGATCTTCAAGATCATTTTACTCCGGTGTCTAGTCAACTTTTCAGTAGGTCACCTTTTTTTAATTTGTTAATGTAGATATAAGTGTGTATTGCATGTAAATGTTGCTCTCTGTATTAATGTGATGGTTAAAGCTTGTGTTGTTGTCATTTCAAATGTCTGTAATTGAGGTTTCCACTGATTCATGTTTCTTGTGGTCAATTCTACAGTGATAATCCACACATTGAGCCCCCTCTAGTGGATGAACCTGCACCTGACACCGTCTCTGAAATCCACAACAGCGATGATGGTGAGTCCAGATGCCATTCAAATGACCGTACTAACAAGCACACAAATCTTTCATAAAGACACACTGTTGCCGTTATCGTCAGTCAGCTCACTATCATGGAAGCTCCTGTTTCACGCCCTCGTGTGTCCATGCACCCCTTCTGCAGCTCCAAACCTGTCATGATAAATGTGCTCTAACCTGCCTGGCTTCCCACGCAATAACCCTTTTTCTTTCCCTTGTGCTCTTTCTTCCCTCTCGCTCTCTCCCCTTCCTGCCCTCTCTCTTTTTGTCTTCCTCTGTTTTTCCTGTCTTTAAGTAGTAAAGTCAGGGTCCTTGAACGTTTCAGAGTCTGACCCCATTGAGGCCATCGCACGTTTTGACTACTCTGGACGCACCAACCGTGAGCTTTCCTTTAAGAAGGGGGCACCTTTGCTGCTGTACCACCGTGCATCTGAGGATTGGTGGGAAGGTCGCCACAACGGCACTGATGGACTGGTGCCGCACCAGTACATAGTAGTGCAAGACATGTAAGCTGTCCGGTTTATTGACTTGAACTGCTGATACTTGTAGTTACTTATCTATTGTACTGATCAGTAAGACCGCTCATAGTGTATGTGAATTCTAGAGATGTCTGTGATTTTGTGTGATAGGCCGGATGGATATGCAGGCAGAGGAAGTCCCAAAGCTGACCTAGAGGCTTCCGATGATGCTGTGGAAGAGAAGGTGTCCACCAGAGCCAGTGCTAGCTCACCCACTGGAGGTCATGTAGCTGATATCTACCTAGCTAACCTCAACAAGTAAGTTAACCGTTCATATGGTCTTCATTAATAAAAATTGTGTGCAAAACAGAATATACAATGTTAAAAATATTAATTAAAATTTAGAAAGGCAGATTATATATGTTATTCCGTATTTAGGTAGTTAGTAGTTTTTTTAATTAGTATTTTAGTATTTTAAATATTTAAATTATTTTCATTATATCTGACCCTGGACCACAAAACCAGTCTTAAGTCGCTGGGGTATATTTGTAGCAATAGCCAAAAATACATTGTATGGGTCAAAATTATTGATTTTTTTTAAAGCAAAAAATCATTAGGATATTAAATAAAGATCATGTTCCATTAAGAGATTTTGTAAATTTCCTACCGTAAATATATCAAAAAGTAATTTTTGATTAGTAATACGCATTGCTAAGAACTTCAATTGGACAACTTTAAAAGCGATTTTATTAAGATTATGTCTTAATGATCTTAATATTAATATTTTTTTTGCACCCTCAGATTCCAGATTTTCAAATAGTTGTATCTTGACCAAATATTGTCCTATCCTAACAAGCCATACATCAATGGAAAGCTTATTTATTCAGCTTGCATGTGATGTTTAAATCTCATTTTTTAAAATTGACACTTAAGACTGGTTTTGTGGTCCATGGTCACATGTCACACACACATATATATATATATATATATATATATATATATATATATATATATATATATATATAGTACATATACATTATAGACAATAAAAATGTAAAAACAATTAACTGATTATGTGAAGTGTATATATATATATATATATATATGTGAAAATGATGACTTTATCCATCTCACTTTATCCATCTCAGGATGAGAAAACGGCCTGAAGCGACCAGCATCCGTAGAACAATCCGGCCAGTGGAGGGACTAGGTGAGGGCTCATCCGGAGCAGCAGGGGGTTTAAAGACCTCCTCCATGCCGGCAGGTGGATATGCCAAGGAGGGCACAGACAAGCGGCCGGTCAGTGCTCACAGTGTCCTAAACTCCATCACCCGACACTCCTCTCTGAAGACTAAGGTAGAAGGTCCTCAGCTCCGCAAGTCCACTCCTGCAGGACGATCAAAGAGTTTCAGCAATCACAGACCACTTGACCCAGAGGTCATCGCTCAGGTGGAGCACAGCTCACAGGTACAACAAACCCAGAATCTGGGCATGTCATTCAGTGTGGCACTGCTTATTATTTAAATTCAGAAACATTCAGACCCTGTCAGTTTTCATACACACGTACACTGAATAAGAATGACATGCATGTAAACAGAAAATCATTTTTTTCCACTCCGGAAATAGTTCTGAGCTCTCCAGAGGAGTGTCTGTGTTTTTTAGAATGTCCTATTTATCTTTCTTTGAGCTGTAATTTCACAGCTGGATAGAGGGCCAGAATCGATCCCGGCTGTGGTTATAATTGAGTTTGAGTTCCTGCGGTCCAGTCATTCTGTGTGTGGACATCTCACAATTTTATTGTTGTACTTGCTACACAACAGTTGTATATGTGCATCGCAGTTGTTGGATGTTGTCTTTTTGAAAAGGACTGAAATACTGGAAAATGCCACTAAAATCCATCAAAATGTGACTACCATTCAAATTTTTTAATTAAAAAAACAGCCAGTTCACCAGTAACTTTTTTTTTTAATTGCAGCATATGCATGGTTTAAATTGCAAACAAAATGTTATATACAAAAATATTACAAACAAAATATGATATATTAACCAGGTAACCAGGCTTTTATAAGGAATACTTTTATTTGATGTTATTCTTGACCTTTTTTTTAAGGTTGTTTTAATTTTGGTTTTATTTATGAGACCACAAACACATTGTGTGAATTCAAGTGTTTTATTGTAAATTAAATTAAATTGAATGAAATTATAAGAATAAAATAAGAAGAAACTATCTTGTGCCATTCATCAAAAATATTAATTAGAAAAAACTGATAAATAATTCAAAATAAATTCAAGTCTTTTATTGCTGTACATACAATAAAATAAAATAAGACGAAACTTTGTGTTCATTCGACAAAACTGATAAAGAATTCAAATTAAAAATAAAATAGTTAAATAATATAATGTTTTTATATTATATGTTTTATATACTAATATTATATAAAACATATAATATAAAATTAATTAAATTAAATAATTTTAATTAATTAAATAAAATATATATATATCCATATTTTCTCATTTTGTCTTTCTTCATTTATCTCTCTTTTTTTCAGGACATTGAGGCGACTATGAACACGGCTCTAAGTGAGCTGCGAGAGCTGGAGAGGCAGAGCAACGTCAAACACGCCCCTGACGTGGTGCTTGACACTCTAGAGCAGCTGAAAAGCGGCGGGGCATCTGAACCCTCCAGCCCGCTTCATTCCCGCCTGCTCCGTGAGGCCGACTCCTCCCAGAACCTTCTGCAGCGCAGCGCCAGTTCGGCCAGTGACATGCCCTCCACCTTCCGGCCCGGCAAGAGCTCGGGTCCCAAGAGCCCTCTGTCGTCAATGTCTACCACAGGTCTGTCCGCTTCCAGCTCCACCTTCAGAGATAACAAACCCCCAGCCACCAAACCCAAGCCTGTGGTGTTCCCAAAAAGCAGTTCGGCCGGGGGCAGTCCGTCGATGGGATCCCCGACCACCACCATACCGCCAACACCACCACCCCCTCCACCACCCACCGACAAGTCCTGCCTGGTCTGAGCGTTTACAGGCTCGATCTGTGATCCGTTTCTTAGGAATTCCAAGAGCACCCTCTAATACTGTTTTTTTTGGATCTTAACAGAAAACTGCGGACAACTTAACAGACTCAAACTGATATTGGATGCTTGCGTGAGTGAGCTTGAGTTTGTGTGTGTGAGTGTGGAATTAATATACACTTGTGGAAATATTGGAGTGGTTTTAAAACAGTTTTAGTTTGGATTGAGACACTCTTCTCTAATCCCAAAATTAGTGGTTTTGATTTTTTTCCGCCTGTATATAGACTGATTTTATAGGAAAGGGGTCAAACTTTGAGGACGGACGAGCAGTGGATGTGCTTTCCGAGGACACTTTCTTCCCCTCAGACTTTGGTGCTGGTGCAGCTTGAAGCAGGTTACAGACGGCACAGCATCGTAGTGAATAGAAACACATTTTCCTGATATGAATTTGCCACTCCTTGTCACGTAACAGCATTACAACCTGATCTCAAATCTGTCTTTTTCTACAGATTCTACGAATCTGTTATACAATAATCAGTAGTTACAGTTCATATAATCCACACTGGCACAGTCTCTGCTTCTCGTTTTTACAAATCTTGCCATCAACAGGCAACTAAACACACCAAATAAATGAAATAGGAGCATCTCTGCATGAGGATTCATGATACAAGATATTTGCATGGTGAACATGGATTCCCTAAGAAACAGATTCATTTTCATACACATCAAAAGCACTTCTGAAATTATTAACAGTCATTAACTGTCATTTTATTGTACTATTATATCAGCGGGCACATAAAAAGAGGGTGTTGTTTTGTATAAGTTTAATAATCATGATTATAACTGGAAAAAAAGTCTCTAAAAATGAGGAATGTCATGCAAGCACATTATTTCTTCATAGCCCGTGTATAAAAATAAAAACAGGTTAAATAAAACATAATTTTATTTAATTTTCCCTAGGTCATTACTCACCTTTGGGTCTGTATCATGGTATCTATGTATTAGTATGTGTGTTTTCGTACAGTATGTATATTCTGAATCTTAACAGCCTAACAGCAGCTTTTAAAGATTTACGGCTTTACAATACAAAAAAAGGGAAAGACTTCAAACAGACTAACGGGGGACACATGCAAAAACGTAGCTTGCTTTTCTCCGTTTTTCCAACTCAGAAAGGATAAGCATGCAAAAAGCCTCTTTAAAGTCTGACAATCTTCATCACACGGTCTGCCTGATTATGCCTTCGACAGAATGGATCGGACAAGTCTGTATTTTCCTAAGCGAGGCCTTATTGTCCTAGAAAATGAGTTGTGGTGGCAAAAGTAGCCTGCTTCACTTTGAAGCATTACAAGCCCTGTACAGTCTAACATGCATGACTGACTGTGACTCCTGGAAAATATCTACGGACAGACTGAGATGTTTATGACCCAGGCTTCCCCCCCAAAAAATAACTTTTTTGAGGACAAGCCTTTTCCTAACGTCTTGTTTTCTGAATGTGTTGTCGTGTTCTGAAAATGTCTTCACGGGTGATTACATTTGTTCATGTGTTAATGATTGGACGTATTCTGTGTGTGTTGTTCCTGATACCTCATAAAGGCAACTGGAAACTGTCTTATTGGAGTTCTTTTGTGAGTGGGACTTTTACATGCAAATGACAGCAGGAAACTCATAGTGTGTGTGTGTGTTTAATGTGTAATGTTAATAGTATGCTGTTGGCCGAGGCCTCTGTTTACACACATACTGTTTTTTTTTCATTGTGTAAATTGAAATCAATCATTATACACTTGAATCTGCATTGTATGTTTGTGAACGAATTAAGTGATGTCCTTTCTTTTTTTTGTGATCATAACTATTGTTAAAATGTCATTCCTGTCCAATTGAAACAAGACTGTAAAATGAATTGTCTTGTCAGATATATTTATAGTTGTCCATTCAGATATCTGTTTCCAGAGAAACCTGTGTTCAGATGTACTTACAATATATTGTGTATATACAATAGTGTACATTACAGAGGTACATTCTTTTTCTTCATATTTTGTTTGTGGGGTTTTTTTTTTTTTGGTACAGTATTGTACAGTTACAGCAATAGTAGTTGCCACTCAAATATACATTATATAATTCCACGTGTAGTTCCTGTAGTAAACATTTTTAAATAAAAAAAAATTGCTTGCTAAATGTGTGTTTGATTAATTGTTTCAATAAAAAAAATTTGAACTTTTTTTTTCCCTAATATTGCCAGTCACTTGTTAATTTTAAATAAAAATCTTGCTAAACGTCTCTTTGACTGTTTAAAATTAATTAACTTTTTTTTTTTTACACTTTTACTAGCCACTTTTTTTTTTTCATTTTAAATGAAAAATTGCTTGCTAGACATGTCATAGATTATTTCAATAATTTAAAAAAAAATGGCTTTTACCCAATTTTACAAGACCCTTTTTTATTTGTTTATTTTTATTTTTGCAAACACATTTTTTTTCTTTTTCATTTGAATATGTAAGTGGGCATGGATCTCTTTCTGATGCATTTTAGCGTCAATCTGAGATATCTTACACTGGCTAGCATTAAGCAATTATAGCCTACCCACCATTACACAAAAAAATACCCACATTTAGCTTTCACATTTGTTTCAAACATTTCAAACATTTGTTGTTTGTCTCAGCAGCTATGTTTTAAAAAATACCTGTGTGACTGCATCATATCTGCAGGTGTTCCTTCCCTGCAGCTCCCATTTCTCATAAACTTCAGGTCTATTTCATGATTCTTTAGTGTTCATTCATTGGACCAAAAAAGTAAATAAATAAAGACAAATAATCCAACATAGTATGGAATTTCATTAGAAGTTTGTCCACTTGCTAAGTATATATTTATGCAACATAAATCATACATACTTTTCTGATATTAAGAACCTTGAGATGCCTATTCTTTTCTTGAGGAAATTTAAAATATATTTAAAGTGCTACAATTTGATTAATAATTTATCCTTAACAGGAAATAAGGACACTTTTTTTCAACTTTAGATTTTTATTTTCTACAGAAATACAGGAAGACCTTGTAAAAAAAAATCTAGAATATGCAAATCTAGGTCAAAGTTATCTTCTTGTGTCATAGGTTACACTTCTGAACAGACTTCAGACAAAAATGTTTGAAAGAAGAACTTGCCTTTCTGCCTCATATTGCTGCTTTAAATTCCGTCCACCAGAGGGCGACATACTTTTTGCTTTGTTGTCACTATTAATATAGTGGAATAAAATAGTTAGTGGTTTGCACATCATCGACATAAGATGATCCGCAATTTAATATTTTAACTTGTGTTATGTCTTCTATCTGACTTTAAGATAAAATCTTATATTAAGAGAGAATGCACCAGTAAGTTACCCTAAACTCAAACGCGAGGCACCGAACAAGGAAGTTCCTGACAGAAATGAAGGGAAAGTTTCTGCTCACAATGGTTTCCGTCGAGCTGCTCTCAGCACTTCTGCTGGAGGACTGCAGGTGTAGTTAACATTAGTCCATAGAAAAACTCAAAGTGGGCTTCAAGTGGGAAATGCGCAGGCTTCTAACACACAAATGGTTGGTTTGTTCGTTTTTTGTGATTTTCTTGTGTTGCCAGTCAGTCAGTGTGATGATCTGAAGGGGAAGTCCTCCTCACAGGAGTGCGTTTAGACTGTCGGCAGTTCATCCACACGGCGGCTTTCCATAAATAGCTTATTTTTGGAGAAATATAACTATGTTTATGTGTCTTCCGTGTTTGCAGGTCAAATAGAAAGGAAGTGGGTTTTATTTGACGCTTCTGTTGTGATGTGAGTGACTTTTGAGACGTGTCGAGTTCACAAATAAACCGGTGAGTCACTTTTGCTTAAAACAACAGTAGTTGGAAGGATGAGAGAAATATGTATTTCGATTCTGTTTACCTTAAGATTAGCTCTAAAAAATTAAAGCACTTAAAACTTTATTTCATTCAGCTTAACATACTGTTTGAAGGTACTAACCAGGAGTTCGTTGGCAACATTATTTACATTTACAGTATGAACTACTGCTGAAATATATATATACATATATAATAACCTTACATACACACACACACACACACACAGGTTTGTTTTTATGGTTTATGGGGACTCTCCATAGGCTTAATGTTTTTTATAATGTACAAACTGTATTTTCTATTGCCCTACACCAAACCTACCGCTCACAGGAAACTTTCTGCATTTTTAGATTTTCAAAAAAACTCATTCTGAATTATTTATAAGCCTTTTGAATTACGGGGACACTGAAAATGACCTTCTCGTTGTAATACCTATATCCTACCCATGTTATTATACAAATTTGTGTCTTCATAAATCACATAAACATACACATACACACACAGGGTTATTCTTGGTTTCAAGGTTATTACTACATTGTTATTACTTTTTTAATATCGGGGCCTCCCAATAAATGCCTTTCTAAATTAAAGCATCTTGACTCCTTTTGGTCTAAAGTGAAGTTCTGAGAAAAAGGTGTCTTAAATGTACGTTTTGGGGCCACTGTGGATACTTCATTAATCCAATGAGTGAAAATGCAGTAATTATTGGAGGACAGGTAATCATGAGGGAAACCTAGCGTTAAATATTTCCTGCTCTAGAGAATCTTTGATTATTTTTCTGTCATACACAGATCCGATCAAGTCATCCGCTTGTGTCAACACAATGACAGCAAGTACAGTAAACCACCTTTGGTCGCTGGATGATGTTCTTGGTCAGGGAGCTACAGCAAGCGTCTACAAAGCACGAAACAAAGTACTTTATCATTATTACAGCTTTCCCATTTCCATTACACAAACAGCTCATAGCCTTGACACTTTACACTAAATGACAATTTATATTGCTGTAGAAAACAGGTGAGCTGGTTGCTGTGAAGGTCTTTAACTTGGTGAGCTACAACAGGCCGTATGAAGTTCAGATGAGGGAGTTTGAGGTGCTGCAGAGACTCAATCACGTCAACATAGTTAAACTCTTTGCTGTGGAGGAGGTACGTATCTGATGTGGTTTGCGACACTGTTCAAAATGTTCCTGCCACGTTACCGCTGATTTTTCAGACAGTGCTTTGATGTTTGAGTTTCTCATGATGCATTGTATCAGGGTCATTTATAGACAACTTTCTAAAGAACAGCACAAAACTACTGTATTTAGTGCAGTGAAATTGATTTTATAATTATTCACCTTTAGTACTCAACTCATTGTATGGTTTAAGAGTTAGAAATAGCCTAAAACAAGGATGATAATTCTGTTGCAACCGTTTGTATTGAAAACATTTATGTACACTACTGTTCAAAAAAAAAAAAAGTTCAGAATGGGTCAGTAAGATTATTATTTTTATTTATTTTTTAAAGAAATTATTACAGCAAGGAACTGGAGAGTCAGTAAATATGTTTATAATTGTGCAAAATATTCATATTTTAAACAATTTAGAAATATATGTATTTTAGATTCATCAAGGAATCTTGAAAAATATGTATCATAGTTTTAATAAAAAATTGATTATAAGAAGAAATGTTTATTGAGCTCCAAATCGGTATATTAGTATAATTTATAAAGGATCATGTGACACAGATTCAGCTTTGCTATCACATGAATAAATGACATTTTAAAATATTTTCCAATAGATTATTTTTAAATTGTAATATACTTCACAATATTATTGAACTTTGATTAAATGAATGCTGCCTTGGTGAGCGTAAGAGACTTCTTACTGACCTCAGAACAATAAAGATATAACAATAATAATAATACAAGTTTTTAATTTTAATCTTTGCACAAACATACTGATATTACAATTTTATAAAATGCCAACAATAAAAGCAACTAGGTTAGCTGATTACCTTGAAAGTCCATAGATATCACCATCAGTTCATACTGCTGTTGGCGATTTTTCCAACAAGCAGATGTGATGAGACCTGTTTTCCTGGGTTTGGTCAGGTGATGTTCAACATATACTGCATTATGTTAAACTTGTTTGACTCCCCACCTAAACTAGATCTGAGAGGTGAATGTTAAACGCACTGCCTTCAGTTCTATTCCTGTGCATGTCAGATGCATATGAACCCAAAGCAGAAGGTTCTGGTGATGGAGTTCTGTTCAGGTGGCAGCCTGCTGAACCTGCTAGAGGAGCCAGAGAATGCGTTTGGACTTCCTGAGTCTGAGTTCTTCATTGTATTACAGTGTGTGGGTAAGGACCAACAGAGGAAATTAAATGAATGTGTTACGAGGCATTACTGTAGATAAATAGAGCTCTTTTCAGATTTAGTTTTTCTCCCATTTGCGCATATACAGTCCAAGGAATGAACCACCTGCGGGAGAATGCGGTGGTGCACAGGGACATCAAACCTGGCAATATCATGAGACAAGTGAGTGAGGATGGGCGGTCGGTATACAAGCTGACGGACTTTGGTGCTGCCCGTGAGTTGGAGGACGATGAGAAGTTTGTGTCCATATATGGTACAGAGGAATATCTGGTAAGGAGGAAATGCTATTAAATTTCTTAAAATGGTTAATGCTGAAAAATGCCTCTTCTTGCATTTTTTTAGTGATTCACAGAAAATACGGCAGATGCAGTTGCTTATCAGAAATGTAATCAGGAGTTTGATGCGGCTCCTTTCATCTGTCTGTGAACAAATGTAGTATCTCAAATAATAACTTTTGTGAACTGTGCTTGTGTGGTTCAGCATCCGGACATGTATGAGCGTGCAGTGTTGAAGAAGCCCCAGCAGAAAGTTTATGGTGTGTCTGTGGATCTGTGGAGCATTGGTGTCACCTTCTACCATGCTGCCACTGGCAGTCTTCCCTTTATACCATATGGAGGTCCACGCAGAAACAAGAAAATCATGTAAGAAATCTAATCTGTAAATTACCTATAAAATTGTTTATTTATTTAGTCATATCCAAAATGTTTTATCCAAAGCGACTTACAAATGAGGACAACAGAAGCAATCAATTGTAGTATTAAAACAACTAAAAACAGATCCAAAACTAAAAGCTAAAACTTTATCAATAATACTTATACACATTTTAAAAATAAAGAAATTAAATAAAAATGACAAATGCATACAACAAAATTTCAAAACTTAACATTTAAATGAAAAACAAAAATAAAGC